TGCACTGCGTGTCTGTGATCTGTTGATTGATGTGTGCACTGCGTATCTGTGGTCTATTGATCGATGTGTGCACTGCGTGTCTGTGATCTGTTGATCGATGTGTGCACTGTGTATCTGTGGTCTATTGATCGATGTGTGCACTGTGTGTCTGTGATCTGTTGATCGATGTGTGCACTGTGTATCTGTGGTCTATTGATCGATGTGTGCACTGTGTGTCTGTGATCTATTGATCGATGTGTGCAGAGATCACCAACTGTGGCTTCTTGCTCCTGGATGTTTACAGCCTGACACTGCTCACCTATACAGACCTCCTACCCACACTAGCTAATCCCTTCTCTGCTGTTCCTGTTAACATGTGGAGGTTCCAGGTTCCATGTGGAGGTTTCAGTGGCATTAGAGAAACCCACCTTATACCAGCTTCATTGTCTGTGTGTCTGTCCTTTCTTCATTCCCTCATTGGCCCTAGCCAGGGATCTAGGACTAAGCAGTGGGTGCTGCACAGATTACAGGATGGCCCAGCTCACTGTGGACACTGCTGCCCTTAGGCTGGTGTGACTGGGGTTACAAAAAGCAGCTTACCCAGGAAGCCAGTGAGAGCTGGTCAGTGAGCATGTCTCATGGTCTCTGCTTCAGTTTCTGTCTCCAGTTCCAAGGACAGGCTGTAACCTGCAAGTCAAATAAACCCTGTCCACTCCGAGATGCTTTTGGTCACAGTGTTTGTCCCAGCAAAGAAAGCAAACGGGGACTGCATCTAATGGTTGGCTGGGTTGACACACTGTCTTCGTCAGGGTTTCCATCGCTGCAAGGAAACACCAGGACCAAAAGGCAAGCTGGGGAGGAAAGGGTTTGTTCAGCTCACACTTCCACAGCTCTACTCATCATCTAAGAAAGTCAGGGCAGGAACTCACACAGGGCAGGAACCTGGAGACTGGAATCCATGCAGAGGTCATTGAGAGGAGCTGCTCACTGGCTTGCTCCTCATGGCTTGCTCAGTCTGCTTTCTCATAGGACCCAGGGCAACCAGCCCAGGGATGGAACTTTCCACAATGGACTGGGCCCTCCCACATTGGTCACTAACGAGAAAATGCCTTACAGCAGAATCTCATGGAGGCTTTTTCTCAATTGAGATTCCCTCTTTTCACATAACTCTAGTTTGTGTGTCAAGTTGACAAAACTTGTTAGCACACACATCAGGAGTGCAGTGGCCTGGGGCTAGAAAAAGGGTGGTTGAGAGCACTTGGCTTCTCTTCAGAGGACCTGAATTTGATTCCCAGCATCCACAGTAGGCTAACAATCATGTGGAACTCTAGTTCCAGGGCATCTGCACTCCTTGGATAGGGCATGTATGTGGTGCACAGATGTGCATGCAAACAAAACACCCATATACATAGAAATAATGAATTTTTTTTATAAAAAAATTTGAAGCAGTACATTGGGAGGCATCTGAGAGACTGCATGCACCCCTGGAA